ACAGGATAGTGAAGTTCCAGCACTACTGCCCCCTCGGGTGCCACGACTCGAAGGAGAAAGCATTTGAATCTATCACCAAAGATATCGAGACTGCCCATTTGGATTTATCTGTCCCAGTTCCTGCATTGAACCGCTGGCTTAAACATTTGCACCTCTATCCTACTGGTGCGCTGGTACTATATGTGGATACCTACCTTCTGCGTTTCACTCTGCAGTCAAGCCGCCTTCCGAACATCACGCCCATAGAGCGGTGCCACTTCTGACGGAGTCCGAGTTCTTCGGGCTTGGAGAAGATGACACGTACATGAAGAAACGAGAGAAACGATTTGCAAAAGCATCCGGCTGGCTCTCAGATTCAAACGCAGCTCTGAAACAAGCTGTGGGATGTGTGCTATTGGTCCAAGTTGTTGCTCTCATGGGGAGATTTTTCAAGTCCGCCAGATTTGATGGAGTACAGAGCTGGGGTCCTATGGAGTTCTGCAAGCCCACCCGAAATCCAGCTCGCGCCACGGTCCTCCGACTTATTGGCATGCTCCAGAATATGGATGGATATTTTTGGTTACCTGTTGTTGGTTTCACAAGCTGGGACCAAAGAAAAATGGCAAGCGCTGGTACCGAAGTGTTCAAAATCATATCTGGCTTGTGGCTCCGTTGCATTCGCGAGTTCGAGAAGTGGCCTTGGCGCCTGGCTTCGGCCTACGACCCCGAGAACTCGGAACACGCCAGGCGCAGAGTATGTGAGGATTTTATCCGATGCGAGGTCGGCCACATGGAGCCTGGTTTTGCAGGCCCCATCAGGGGGGTTGTCGATGCGGCTGATCAGCTCATCGGTGACGCATATGTTCGGGACCTTGTCTGCAACTCCTTTGAGAAGGCGGACTGCCACAATATTCAGAACGAAGACAGGTTTGCACGACAGAATCGATATACGCAGATGAGCAGTCAAGCAACAAATCACAGTACGGTCGCCCACAAACACATCTTGTCTGAGTGGCAAGCCTGGCACGGCATCGCTATGGAGAAGCACAGCCGTCGGCGACCTCACGAGAAGCAACGGCTTGATAGAGAACTCAGAGGTTGGCATGCCTTCGTGCGTGAGAATCATGGGCCGGGACAAACCCTTGCGTCACTCGGGGGGCTGTGGAAGCTGAAGAGCCCGGCCGAGAAGGCGGCATTCAAGATCGACGCCGACGCGCCCGCACTACCGACGGATGACATGTCACAGCACACGCCATGGAAAGCAGGTGACGGCGCGTATCCTTTGTCTGAAGCTTCGGTTGGGGCGGCGGCTGAAAATATATTGGCATCCTCGCGCGAATGGAGGACCTTGGTCGGCAGCATCCTCCCCGACCGACCCGACGGCGCACCGCCCCCGCCGAAGCCGTGCTGCAATCGAGTGGGGGTCGGCCGTTGTATTTCCGAATTCAGCGAGGATGACTTGGGCGTCGTGGATCGTTGCAGGCACACATTGTTCATCTTGTCTAAACTGCCGAAGTCGCAGCAAGCATTCGTGGAGGAGGTTCCTTTGTTCTTGTTTGAGGGCGTGGGCGGAGCTGCAGGGTCAGCAGACGATCCAGTGCCGCGTCGCTTGTTCTTGATGCCGCTGGTCGTACTCGAGTCTGGGAACCCGCAGCAAGTCTTCTGGGAATGCTCCTTGGCTGACGGTGGCGCCGTGGAGACAGGCAAATTGGTGAACGTGAGGGTAGACTTCGATAGCGCGCTGAGCGCGTCACCTGATCTGGCTGTTTGGATGTTATCTGTGGGTGGCGCGGCGGTGATCATCAAGAAGGTGAGTTACACGTTCGTCTCATTGTTGCAGCTCCTCGTCAGTGACGTCAACGACGTGACAGGATTGCGACCTTGTTTGATGTCTGCATGCGGCAACGAAGGCAGCAGAGAGAGGGGTGCATGATATTTGCCAGACAGAGTTTCGCGGGAGAGATCGCACATGTGTCACATGTGCCAAGCGGGCCCCGTGGGCCCCGTGGGCACCCAACAGGCCAAGTATTGTGTTATGTTCGTCTCGTGTTCTCTCGTTGCTTTCATGCCCTGCTTCCTCCGTGATAGGCCCTTCTCCTCTTCTGTGTCCTCACCTTCCTCCTCCTCCTCCTCCCTCCTCCCTCCTTTCTCCTCCCTCCTGCCTCCCCCCATCCTCATTTCTCCCCCCTCCCTCCTCACTCTTCCTTCCTCCTCATAGGGATGAGGGGAAAGCGTCGGGAGGGCAGTCGGCTTTCGTTGAAATTCGGCCTGCAGGCGACATCAGGGAGCTACAGAAAGGCAAGACGTTGGATGACGAGCTGTCCATTCTGAGTGGCGTGATGGCCTCGTTGAGGAAGGCCGCGAAGAGGAAACTTGGAGGGGGCCAGGGTAAAAAAGAAAAGGGTCCAGAGGGCGGCGACGGTCCCGGGGGGCACGGTGAGGAGGGTCCAGAGGGCGGCGGCGGTCATGAGGAGCACGCTGTTGCCATAGAAGCCATAGATGACGTTGATGTGGGTGGATATGTTGAGGCACTGGAAGAGTGGGAAGATGTTGTTGCTGACGCGGCTGGTGCAGCTGCTGGCGCAGCTGCACCAGCAGCAGCCGCCGACCCGCCCCCCGCAGCCCCTGGTGCAGATGTAGGAGCGGCAGGGGGTCTTCCTACAGTTGTGGAGCACGACGATACTCACAGGTATTTCTTCAACCCAGAAAACGACAAAGACAGATGGGGGAGGCTAACTCTGATGCATGTCGGCGAGCCCCGGGAAGCTATTTCAATGTATTGCAATGCGCATGGGTGCTCACGGGTGAGATGTGCGTCGGATTTCCCTCGGCAGCAGGTGTTTCGGCAGTGGTTAAAGGATGGGCGAGATCTGCCCTTTGGCAAAGCGGGCAAAGCAGAGCATTTGAGAATGTTTGACAGGTTACCGAAACCTTGACCCAGAGCTCACCACCTCACTTAGGTTCTGATGTTCTGGTGCTGTTTTCGACTCTTGCCGCGTGTGTTACAGCAAACACCGAGGAGTCATCCCGAATGAAAGCTCGCGCGCGAGCTTGTCGCGGCGGCTGCCTATTTCGTTCGACTGGAGCACGCTTGTCGGCTCGGCATGAATCATGATAATAAGATGTGTAGACTCGCTCATCCTCCGCATTCCCTCGCTTTCCTCCTATTGCTCCTGCTCGTGATTATCCTCCGAGTTAGTATTAGTTTCACTCTCCTTCCCCTTTTCCCTCTTCTCCTTCTTCTTACCCCCTTCATCCATCCTTGGCTCTCAAGCCATGGCCCAAACAATGAATATTGGAAGCGGGCAAGTTAACCCGAGATCTCGAAGTAAGGACCAGCTCCGGGGGGGAGAGGAAGTGGAAAGGGAGGGGGAGGGAGGGGCGGAGAGGGAGGGAGGGGGGGATTGGCATGCGGCATGGGCCATGGGCCCGCCTCACAGCGATCCACCCGCGACCCGAGTGGGCCCAGCCGCCAAGGCGTGGCGACAATAAGTGGGAGAGGGCTCCCCGGGACCCCTTGTCAATTGTGGAGACGCCCCCCTGACATCAACATTCACGCCCGCATAAATGTGAGTTCACAGTATCCCGCGACAGTCACACTCGCATAACGAATCAATGTGAATTTGCGGCGTCCCACATGTATTTGGGCCATCTGGGGGTTCTCTTGGCGCCGTTTTGGGGCTTCTTGGGCCTGTCCAAGGGCCTTCTGGGAGCGCATTGGGGCCCAAGAGGGGCCCAAGAAGAGGGTGAGTTACGGTTCGTTGGGTGTACGGTGCGTCGTCCTATGGAAAATTATGAGTTTGGCCTACGCAACGTTTGTGTTACAGAACGTCGCCTCTTTGAGCCCTCTTGGGGACACTTCAGGGTCGTCCTAGGGCACTTATGGAGCCTTCCAGGGCTGTATCGGGGCCCCCAAGAGGGGCCCAAGAGGGCATCAGTGATCAGGCCCAACAACCTGTCACAAACGACAAAGTGCCACAGCAAAATACGCCGTTTTGTGACACAACGTTTGTGTCACAGAACGTCGCCTCTTGGAGCCCTCTTGGGGCCCTCTTGGGGGCGCCTTAGGTGAAGCCACGTTTCTTGTACAGAGCGTCGCCTATTGGCCTATTGGAGCCCTCTTGAGGCCCTCATGGGGCAACCTTGGGGGCACCTTCGGGCGGTCTGAGGGCACTTCTGGAGCCTTCAGGGCCGTCGAGGGGAGCCCCAGGACGGCCCCAACAAGGTTCCAAAACATCCTCCAGAAATGCCCGCCTGAGAAGTCCACGGACCCCCCCTTGAGGAGTCCAAGAGGGGTCAGTCGGCGTGTTTTCCTGTTTTGCTCTTCAGATTCCATTGGCGCGGTTCCAAGACCCTCCCATAGCAGCCCCAGCAAGGGGCGGTGATGCAGGTGGGCCGCTGGTTCTTTCTCTGTCACCCCTTCCACTTGGTACCATCTGCTATCATATCGACACAACGCAGCTGAATGTGAATGAGTGAATGAGTGAGCCCGGATGTCTAGGTCATAGTGTCATAGTCTATGCCATAGAGTCAAAGGTGGCACCCCTCACTACTTACGCACACCGCACACCCAAGAGGCCAAGCTGCGTTGGGCTAAGTCTGCACTGGGCAGCCAATTCGGACAGCGAGTCGAAAAGCAAAAATGGCAAACCTGAAAAAAGCCGAATCCCCCCCCCCCGAAATCCGAAAGCCGAACCCCCCCCCCCCCCCGAAATCCGAAAGCCGAATCCCCCCCCCCCGAAATCCGAAAGCCGGCTCTTACAGAGCGTTTCCGGCTCTTACAGAGCGTTTCCGGCTCTTACAGAGCGTTTCCGGCCCTTACAGGATTTCGGGGATGCCTTTCGGACCGACCCTTGTTTTCCAGGCTGCTTTTCGGACGGTGATTCCAGGCGCTTTCGGATTTCGGGCTTTGCTTTCGGACCGTTGGCGTCGGTTTCGCACTGTAGCTTTCGGCTCCAATTGCGAGGCCTCCGGGCCTCATGCCAATGTCTTCCTGCAGACGTTGACGGAACCAGGCCGACATGGCCACCCATGAGGCGGCTGGTGAGACAGCTGCTCAGGGCAAGGCCACGATGGATCGTGCTTTGGCTGATGATGATGGAGACGGCTTCTCCGAGGTGTGTAGAGGGACGAGTGGCCTGATGCCCAAGAGCAAGGGCCCCATGGCGAAGTTCTGCGTGCACGTGGCTACGTGTAAGGACACTTCTTTCGTTGTGACCGTCCTCGTCGCCAGACCAAGAGGGGAAGCCAAACGAGGGGCTCCTGTCCAAGAAAGGGGCGCCTAACCGAGGGAGTCACCCTTGTCTTGCCTGTATTGTTGAGGCGCCCCTATCTTGATCAGGCGCACTTCGTTAGAGTGTCCTCCCGGGGTCTTGGCGATGTGATCAGTCAAATTCTCAGGCCACTAGCTGTGTTGCATGTTGTCCTATTCTTCGTTTGCGCCATTGATATTATTCTACAGGCGTGCGGGTGCCAGAGCTCCGCGGAGAACCCGATCAGAGTCGGCAAGCTGAGCGAGTGGAAGAGCATTCCGTGGCTCTACGGAGATGAGAAGTCCCCAGAGGGCAAGAGTTGCACTCTATGTTACAACACCTTCACTCAAGGCGGGTTCCTGGAGGAGTTTGGCAGCATCCAGAAGATGCTAGATAAAGCGCCCAACGACGTGAGCATCATGTTGCAGTTCAAAGCTGCCCGGCTGGAGCTTATCAAACGCATCAACAATGGCGAGGTCGAGTTGCGGTTGAGGGGTGCAAAGAAAGAAGACCGCAAGAAAAACTTGCTGGCGGCCAGGCAGCGCAGCATTGAGATGCATCAGAGTGCTGGGACCGTGAATCGATCGAAATTCCGCGTCATGACCGTGCAACGGTACAAAGACACGCACAACGACAGGACCCCCGAAGACGATGGCCTGGACACGTGCATGCAATACCACAAGGGGAAGCTGGAAGAAGTTGTTCTACTTGCTACTATGGCCGAGGGTGAATGGGAAATGGACATCGAGGACAGGATGGAGACCATCAAGAAAGAGGTGATTGACGACGGAAAGAATGTGATTCGTGATGGCCAAATCGAGTCCAAGTTCGAGGCTAAAGCCAGGCGGACCCAGGCAGCCCTCGACGTGAAAGCTTCCACTGAGCAGCTCCTGACTGCGGAGGCGCTAGAAGAGGCAGCTGCAGCACGAGAGGAGGAGCACAAGCATGATGATGACGAGGAGAGCCGCGACAGCGCCTTGGACACCGAGGACAGCGACGACTTCCTCGCAGGGGTGCTGAATAAGAACAGAAAGACAGCCAAGGCGACCAAGGACGCGCCCTCGTCGGCTGCGAAGACAGCCAGTGGCAGGACCAAGGCTACGCCGAAGGCAAGCTCTGCCCAGAAAAGCACAGGAGGGGCACAGGGCTCGGGCGCAGGGCGGCGGGGTGCTAGGTCCGTCGTATCCATACGCTCGAGATCCCCCAGAGGCGGAGCCCCTTGCTCACGGACATCTTCGCGCAAAAGCAAGGAGGAGTCCCAGGTCCAGGACGTGGTCGTCGACGTGGATGCTTACTTGGATAGGAACGGGCTGCGGGATATCCTGGGCCAGTTCGAGGAGTCGATGAATCAGATCTCGGAGGACGCAGTCTTGAACGCGTATGTCTTGAAGGAGAAGGATATCTCGGATGCGTGCAAGAAGGCCGCGTCGTCCATCAACGACTCGCAGAAGTCAATGACGAAACTATTCTGGAAGATCGAAAAAAGATCAGGGAAACCGGAAGAAGCCACAAAGATCCTCACAACTCACAGGGAGACCATCTCAGACACGGTGAAGTACTTCCAGACCTCCTCTGGCGGCAAGAAACTGGTTGATACCTTGGACGTCGAGAAAGTTGCGCAGTTGACGCGCGTGTTCGAGGATGGCCGCGCGCCCCCGCCGGCTTGCCAGATCGCTTTCTATGTGTCCAGGGGCCTCCACCTGGCTGTCAAACAGAACCTGAGCGAGCTGAAGACCTGGATACAAACGGGCCTCGACAAAGTCGAAAACTTTCCAGAGGAGGACAAGTGGTCGCTGATCATGATGCTCATCGAGAGATTGATCGCGTTCATGCTTGACGGGGTTTCGGGCAAGTCGGAGTCGAAGGACAGGGCTGCGCTGGAGTATACCAAGGACTTTATCAAGTCCTTGCTTGAAATCCCCGCAGGCGATCTGTTCGGCCCAGGCTTCGAGAACCACGCAAGCGACTTGACCGACATCCAGGGCATGTTTGACTTTGCCGAGCGCCCTGACATGGCAAAAGAACAAGAACAGGGACTGGTCCGGCTGCACACGTGCACTACATCTAAAGAATATGTTGGCTTCTTCCGCGCAGTAGGCTCGCATGGCAACTTCGAGAGAATCTCGAAATGCATCAACGATTCCGTGGCAGAAGCTGCTGGGGGCACCAGCTTCAGGGCCAAGATGACAGCCGCCATGTGCCTGATCGAGAAGCAACGCAGTTACAGCCGTCCAGAGGATGCGCTCACCCAGAAGGACGCCGAGAAGCTTTCCAGCTGCATCAGCGACCTCGTCGAGGAGATGGCGGACTCAAGGGATGAACGCCAAGCCGCTCAATTGGACAGGGTGTTCAAGCTTACCGCCGAACACGGGCAAGACGCCGTCAAGGGGCGCCTGGCCCGCGTGGAGAAGTACGCGCAGGAGGTGAGCTCCAAGGACTCCTGCGACGAGCTCCGGGGAGGGGCCATGGAGACCGCGTGCTCGTTCATCAGTGGCTTCAAAAGGAGCGTCGAGTCTGGGAAAGTCCACGTCCTCCACAAAGAGTGCAAGGCTTTGACGTGGAAGGTTGTGGAATCGACGCTCGAGCTCTCCAAGAACGCCATTGAGGTGAGGCAGGCGATCAAGGAGCTTGGCCTCGTTGCGACGTTGATGGAGAAGATGCACGCTGCTATCACGTATCGTTTCGCAGATGGTAAGACCGAGCAGGATGTCGACATTCAGGCCCTCGCAGCCAGGTTCCGTTGGTTGGGCTTCTAAGCCTCGGTAGCGGGGGTGGACTTCCACTTCCGCCTACTCCTGTTTAGCCGAACCCTCTAACGCCCGCCTCGATCATTCCTCCTCCAACGTATCTCTCTTCCTCTCTCGCTCATTTCCTCGCCCTTTTTCCAATATTCCCTACCTAGGCTCTGCCTAGAAGGGTTCTTACTCTCTTAGCCTAAAGGGGCTGGGCAGTGGAACACGCCCTGGGCGGTTCCCCCAGTCCCCTGGGAGCGGTTCCCCCCAGTCCCCTGGGAGCTTTAGCTTTAGCTTTAGCTTTAGCTGGGCTTTAGCTTAGCTCTAGCTTAGCTGTAGCTTAGCTTTAGCTTAGCGTTTCGCTTAGCTTTTCGCTTAGCGTTTAGCTTAGCTTTAGCTTAGCTTGAGCTTAGCTTGAGCTTAGCTGTAGCTTAGCTTTAGCTTAGCTTTAGCTTAGCTTTAGCTTAGCTTTAGCTTAGCTTTAGCTTATCTTTAGCTTAGCTTTAGCTTATCTTTAGTAGCTTAGCTTCGCTGGCTCAGCTTTAGCTTAGCTTTAGCTTAGCTTTAGCTTAGCTTTAGCTTAGCTTTAGCTTAGCTTTAGCTTAGCTGTGGCTTAGCTTTAGCTTAGCTTTAGCTTAGCTTAGCTTAGCTTTAGCTTAGCGTTACCTTAGCGTTACTGTTACTACTAGTGCTGCTTTCCTAGGGGGTCCAACTCCTAGGTAGAGTCGCACTGGGATAATTTCCCTTATCAGCTTATTCCCCCTCTTGGTACAGTGCAGGGCTAGTGCTAGCGACTCCCAGGTTGAAGGACTGCCGCGACGCGGTGATGAAGCTAGCCGATGGGAACAGAACCTCTGCCGAGAAGGCCGTCGGGGTCATCATGGCGACGTGCGGCATCGAGAAGATTGCGAAGGAGAAGTCGGACTCCCTCGGCGCGAACCTGACCGAGTCCATCGTTGTCTTGCTCAAGCACGTCCGCGCCTCGAAAGGCTTGGACGCCCTGGCCAGCAGCGCAGCTGACGCTTGTTCGTCTGTCATGAAGACTACGCACCTCATGTGGCAGCTTTCTGCGTGCATCGATGGTGACCAGGTTGCGGTGCGCAATCGGATCTCCACCGCCACGTCCTTGGCGCAGTGCGCGTCGAAGCACGATGTCTTCAGCCTCATCGCTGCACTGCCCGCGGCTGGGGTCCCCACGAAGAAGGCCATGCTGGACCTGAGCGACAAGGGCGCGAGGGAGTTCAAGGAGAACCTCGAGCGATTGCTGGGCCGCGACTCTTCCCCCGGTTTAGCCTCATTGGCCGATGAGGCATCAGAGCTGAACGGCGACCTGGTCAAAGAGGGTGTGGGCGTGCTCGGTGATGCGCTGGACAAGCTCAATGACAAAATCGACGCCTACGCAAAGTTCAACTCTGAGAATGCGCTGAGGGTCGCCAAAGAGCTCGAGGACAAGTATTTGACCAACAAGGAGGACGACCTGCACGGCGAGTTCCTGAAGTCCTTCGACAAGAACGCTCTGAAAGCGTTGACTCCGGAACATGCGCGGGTCTGTGGCCAAACGGATAACACAGTGCAGCTCCTCACTGATTTAGGATTGAAGTTGCTTCCAGTGGATCTCCAGAAGTCCCAGGACATCATCGCTCGTTTGAGCGCCATGTCTATCAAGTGGGCTCTCTTTTCCTTGCTCCAGAAGGAAGATGACGCCCCGGGCACGCAGATCGACAAGATTAAGAAGCTAGTCGACGATAATTTCACAGAGGAGTTCAAGAAGTATTTTGACGATGCGGTATTCCAAGGCGCCGTCGAGTTGGCGAATACTGCGGACAAGACGGGCTCCGACAAGAAGTCGACGGAGGCGAAGCTCGACTCCACCAGCAAGATCGGCACCGACGAGGGCGAGAGCAAGGCCGACGGGAAGCCCCCCTCGAAGAAGCGGAAGAAGAAGGGGGTGGGGGCCTGAGCTGGAGCCAGAGCTTGTGTTTTTGAGGGCGCTGGCTGATGGCCAGTTGCGGGAGCCCTGGGCGACGGAGATCCGATTCGGATTGCCCAGATGATCTGCAGGGGAGCGTGGCAGAGTCGCCGAGGAAAAAGCAATGGCCCCGCCTCATCGTCTGCCCCCCCGTTCCCCCGAGCATCCGTCTTCGCGAGTAGGGGGTTTTCTTTTCTATGTTTCCCGTTGGCCTTGAAGGGCCTTGAGGGTTGAGACGTGCGACTCGGCAGCTATCTCGAGAGGGTGGGTCTATGAGAATCCCAGGGGCTCGTTGACTTATCGGAGCGACCGCAAGGGTCGATAGCCCGTGGTTGGTTGCTTACTTGCTCACAGCCACTCGATGGCCATCCGGTTCAACCCTTCAGCGCCCCCTCTCATCCAACGACCTCGGCAACGTTGGGGGCCGCGCCATGGGACGGAATTCTACCAAAAAGCCTGCTGGCGCGGACAAGGGCGACACAGGGGTCATCAAGGAGACGCTGTCCATCAAGGACGACATCGTGAAGGCCGTCCTCAAACGCATGATCGACGCCGCCCAGAAGAAGCACATCGAGGGCGGGGGGAGCCAGCTGCACATCGTCCCACGCATGAAGACCAACGTGGGCAAGCTCAAAGTCGTCAACATCGGCAGCATGTGTTCGGGATCCAACATCACCACGGTCATGATTAAGAAGCTGTTCGAGGTGCTGAAAAGCGGGAAGGTGAGAGATACTTTCGCATGCGAGGCAGACCAATCGAAAAGAGGCTGGCTCAAATTCGTCGGCGACAGCATGGGCGACCCGGAATGTCACATATTCGACAACATCATGAACATGGGGCGGCGCCATGCCACGTGCGTCGTGCACGATAGGCCCGAGTGCAGCGTCCCCTCCAACCTCAGGAACATGGAGGACGCCCCGCTCATTTCGACGACTGGGTTCAGCTGCAAGAACTTTTCCAAGCTCTTCGCAGGGACGGCAGGCATGTCCAGGAGCGAGATGCTGGACGAAATCCTCAAGCAAGGTAAAGGATCGACAGGCGCAACATGCAAAGGGATGCTGGCCTACCTCAGCAACCACAGCCCTCCTTTCCACATCTGGGAAAACGTGAAGGAAATCCTGGAGATGGCGAACGCGGAGAACTTGGAGTGGCTGATCGCTGCGCTGGCGAAGTGCAAGTATGCGTGCGCAGTCAGCAAGTACACGTCCAGTGACTACCAGGTCCCCCAGGCAAGGGCGAGGGCCTACGGCGTCTGCGTTCGCTGGGGCATGGGCTTGGAGAGGTCCGAGGCACAGGCGCTGGCCAAGAGGATCATCAAGGATTCGAAACTGTTTGCTTCAGCGGGCACGGTGGCCCTTCAGCAGTTCTTGCTCAACGACTCCGACCCCCTGGTGGTTGCCACCAGGCGCCATATGCATGAATGGAAGGTGAAGAACGACGACGCGGAGGACGATACGACGAAAAGAGAGTGGGAAAAAGAAATGAGGAAAGTGTGTCAGGAGCAGAACTTCGCCTACAGCACGCTGCAAACGCCCGATGCCTTGGCCAAGTCAACGCGGTACCAGGCCTTGCCCTTGCGCGAGCAGCACGCCCTCGACTACCACTACAAGGTCGACAATAACTGGACGATGCTCGATCTTTCGCAGGCCGTCTCCCGCATGACCAAGTCGAGTGGCCCGGCGGTGCCGTGCCTCACCCCTGGCATCAAGCTGCGGCTTCGTCCTCCACTGGTCAAGCAGCCGAGGCTCCTGACAGGCTATGAAGCCATGAAGTTGCAGTGCTTCCCGGACGACCTGCTCAATGCGTTCCTGCAGGAGAGGGGCAACTACATCAACGACCAGAAGACGACCGAGGTGCTGTGGAAGGATCTCGGCGGCAATGCGTTCACTGGCAGTGTGATTGCAGCTCTTATCATGGCCATCCGGATGAACGTGCCAGATTGCTACTTGAAGAAGGATGAGAACAACGAGGGCCCGACGACGGACGATGAGCTGGACATGGTGTTCTAAGTGCCCTGGCGCCTGGCGCGCCGCTCCTCACCGCCCCTACGCCCTCTTCCTCCTCCACCCCCTCTCTCTCTTTCTCCTCGTCCTCCTGCATCTGCTCCTACTCCTGCTCCTGCTCTTGCTGCTGCTGCTGCTGCTGCTGCTCCTCCTACTCCTCCTCCTCCGCCTCCTCCTCCCCTCCCTACTCTTTCACCTCCCCCTTCCCCCTCGTCCTCACCCCTCCTTCTCCCCCTCCTCCTCCCCCTCTTGCTCCTTCCCCCCTGCTCGCTTTCAGCTGGAGTTCGGTGCAGGGTAGTGCCCGCGGGATGGGCGAGATACCGAAATGTAAATGTTGGTTCATTCCCCCGCTGCTGATGCTGATGATGTTGCTGCTGCCGCTGCTCCTCGTCCTGCTGTGCCCCCGCCATCGAGGAGCCAGGCAGAGAGGAATCTCCGCAACTGACGGCACGGGGCCCGAGAAGACCCCGATGGGACGAACAAGCTTCCCGCATAATTGGTCCCCACGAGATTGGTGATGGGTCAGGATAGCAAGTGCATTGTCTGCATTGTATTGCAATTCCCAAATCAGCTTTGTTTGCCCACTTGCTTGATCCCACCGAGACATCATAGTAGGACAACGGCAGGAGGAGGAAGAAGTGGATGAGGTGGAGGAGCAGGAGGAGGAGGAAACGCAAGACCGTAAGACTGACACCCCCACGCACGTGCGCCCTGGAGGAATAGGATTAGGAAAAGGAGGGCTGGGGAGATGAAGACGAAGAGAAGGTTTGCGTTCGGTTGCCCACGATCCCTCGTCAGATTGGCCGAGAGCCTTCGCTGCGGCGCCCCGGGAGAGTTTTGCGTTTCTCAATTCGAAGAGGCCGCTCTCTTGCGTATTCAGCCCGCTCCTCATCATCCTGGATCCTGCTGGCCCTCCTCAGTCCTTGGCTCGTTCCCCCTCGTCCTCTTCTGCCCGTCGCCTTGCTGTCCGAAGTCGCGAGTTTGGAGCGTACTCGCGCCTCTGGGACGGAGGCAACGCAGCAATCCAGGAACAGTCGAAGGGCGCGAGGCCAACGCTTTTTCGGAAACAACTTCCGAAACTGTTTCAAGTGGTTTACGCCATTCCGCCGACCCCCAGAAAGAGTGAGAGCTTGCAACGATCGTGGAAGCTATCTGAAACCAGCTTCCGAATAGGATTACGAAACCGATTTCCGAAACCGAAATCAGAAAACCGATTTCCGAAACCAATTTCCGAAAGTCACATCCGAAATGACCTCCGAAACCTGTTTCCGAAACCGATCTCCGAAAAGCACGTCGCTGCAACGATTTTCCGCCGAAATCCACACCCGAAATACGTTTCCGAAAGCGTTTGCCCAGATCTATAGAGTAGGCGTCTCGAGTCCGCCTAAGTGATGATGATGATGATGCTGGTGCTGATGATGATGATGACGATGATGATGATGATGACGACGACGATGATGATGATGATGGTGGTGGTGGTGATGATGATGCTGATGATGATGATGATGATGTTGATGATGATGATGCTGCTTCTGATGATGACGATGATGATGATGATCATGATGAGGATGGGGATGATGAGGATGATGATGAGGATGAGGATGATGAGGATGATGATGATGATGGTGGTGGTGGTGATGATGATGATGATGCTGATGATGCTGATGATGCTGATGATGCTGATGATGCTGATGATGCTGATTATGATGAGATGATGATGTGGGGGATGATGGTGGGGTGGTGGTGGTGGTGGTGGTTGTGATTGATGATGATGATGAAGATGATGATGATGATGATGATGCTGATGATGATGAGATGGTGAGGAAGGAGGAGGCGGAGGAGGGGAGGAGGAGGAGGAGGAGGAGGAGGAGGAGGAGGAGGAGGAGGAAGGATGAGGAGGAGGAGGAGGAGGGGAGGGGGAGGGGAGGGGAGGGGAGGGGAGGGGGGGGGGTGGGAGAGGGGGAGGGGGAGGGGGAGGGGAGGGGGAGGGGAGGGGAGGGGAGGGGGAGGGGGAGGGGGGGGGGAGGGAGGGGGGAGGAGGAGGAGGAGAGAGAGGAGGAGGAGGAGGAGGAGGAGGAGGAGGGGAGGAGGGGAGGAGGAGGAGGGGGAGGAGGAGGAGGGGGAGGAGGGGGAGGAGGAGGAGGAGGAGGAGAGAGTGAGGAGGAGGAGGGAGGAGGAGGAGGAGGAGGAGGAGGAGGAGGAGGAGGAGGAGGAGGAGGAGGAGGAGGAGGAGGAGGAGGAGGAGGAGGAGGAGGAGGAGAGGAGGAGGAGGGGAGGAGGAGGAGGAGGAGGAGGAGGAGGAGGAGGAGGAGGAGGAGGATGAAGGAGGAGGAGGAGGAGGGGAGGGGGAGGGGGAGGGGGAGGGGGAGGGGGAGGGGGAGGGGGAGGAGGAGGAGGAGGAGGAAGAGGGGAGAGAGGAGGAGGAGGAGGAGGAGGAGGAGGAGGAGGAGGAGGAGGAGGAGGAGGAGGTGAAAAGATAAGCGGGTGATTTCGATATGGAGGAATTTATCCTGGGCTCGAGGCTCAAGCCGGCTGCGGGTGAAGGAATCGTAACAGCCCCCCTCAGATCTGGCACGCATATACAGATCGGGGCAGAGCTGTCCTAAAACAGTGCACGCGTATGTACCACAATCAGTACTAGAGCATACTTTTACTGACAATGGCACAAAGAAGTAAAGAACCACTAAAAGGGATACCAGTGCTCAACTGATGTCTGCGGGGGCACAGAGGCAATCTTTTGTTGCATATGCTAACCCCATGTCTCACTCAGAGAAATCTCCCCGCTCGAACCGGTCAGCCACAATCCGGAGAACCTCTGCCACACCGAACCTCGTCTTCAATTCGTTCACATCAATGCGAATATCCTTCAGGATGTCTTGTTCCCTTTGCTCAGTGGTCAGAGGAGGCTTGACCTTCTTGGAACTGTCCCGGCTGCGGCTCCGACTCGGGCTCGCTGTCTTTGACGCGGAGCGGCTCCTGCTTTTGACA